TGGGAATAAAACAGATTGAATGGCAATTTAAATAAAACAGTTGTTGAGTTTAGCACATTTCATGTCATCTTTGTTTTGCTTCAGCTTTTAGCAGCCAGTTATAGTTTATCTTTCCACCCCAATCTCAAGTGAAACATGGTGTCAGAGAGGGTTTTGTTCTAAAAGAGGAAATTATTTTCTAGTAGAACAGGACCCATTCTATTGTACTAAAATCCAACCAGACCTACAGTAGTTAATATTGAAACAAGCAGTTATAATCTCAAAGCAGGTCTATTTCAGGAAATAAATGGCAATTTAAAAATAATACCATTTTTCTCACACACACTCAATACTGCTGACAGAAAATATGCACAAATTGAGAGACTGTTTAACCTGTGTATGGGCATGTAAGAAGTTTGAAGATACATTGCAGGACTTGAATCCTTGAAACTGTTAACAGACCACAAAACACATACCATTCATAAATACACATAATCTGTACAATTCCTCATTATACTGTCAAAAGCTTCAGACAAGACTGAAAAGATATAACCCAGTAGTAGAACACATATCAAATAAAGCAATAGTCATACCAGATACAATTATCAAGAATTCCTTTATTCAACACTGATAGTAATACCATCAAAGAAGTTGGAGTATACACAAACTTCATGGCAAGAACCAGACTAGTATCAGATTAAAAATTAAATGAAATAAAAATAACAACTAAACAAGACACAATATTACAAGAAATAATGCACCTCACATTAAATGGATGGAAACATGAAGAAGGAAGAATAAAAGAAAGTATAAGGCTATATTTTCCAAGTCAGAATGAATTTGTCAGTCCAGGACAATTTATGAATGATAGAACTAATTTCAACTGAGAACTAATTTCAACTGAGAACTAATCTCAACTCAGAACTAATTTCACCTCAAAACTAATTTCAACTCGATTTAAAAACCCTAACCCTTAGTTCCAAGTTGAAATTAATTCTGCACCCCCAATTTACTATGGTTTCTGGACAGAATTGTTATATCTAAAAAAAAACATAAACCGGAGATATTAAGGATAATTCATAATGATCACATGGGTCTAAACAAAAGTCAAGAGAGAAAGAACCAAAGAGTCTGTGCAGTGGCCTACAATATTTCAGGAGTTGGAGAAGTATCTAAAAAATGTAGTAAAATGGATTGAGTAGCAGTTTGAATAAAACAGTTGTTGAATTTAGCACGTCTCATGTCATTTTTGTGCTGCTTCAGCATTTAGCAGCCATTCTCATATAGTTTATCTTTCCACTGGAACACTTAGATTCTTTTTCCTTTATATCTCTGGAGATTGATAACAGTCTATAAATATGATATATTTTTGTTTCAGTAGATTGATTATGAGGTTAAGTGCCTTCTTCAGTGCTTGTAATTCTGCAATAAAAATAGACGCTTCATTGGGTAATCTTATTTGTTTATGGTTTTGTCCACTTACTGCTGCTGCTCCTATTTTTGATTCCATCTGTATATATTGTTCTGTTCACTATATTTGTCATTTAGTTCACCTAATTCATTTTGATATTCAGTTTTATTGGTGGATTGTTCTTTTTTAAATTGTCTTAATGTGAGATCCACTATTGGTTCTGTGATTATTCAAGAGGGTATATTTGGGGGTGCAGCTAGTGCTATGCTGTTGAAATTTCTATTTATTTGTGAAAGAGCTTCCTTAATATATATTCCAAAGGAGGGTATTATTAATGGTTTGCTGTTATACAATTGGGTATACTGTGAATTATATATTTTTTTATATGTTGGGTTATTGAAGTTATTTTGAAGTTTTATGGCATATTTGAGGGAGAGATTTTTCCATCTTAAATGTAGAGATAGTTCATTAGCCTCTACATGGAAGCTTTACATAGGAGAGGTGCAGAATGCATTCAGACATAACCTTTGCCCTTGATTCTGGATGGGTTGTAACTTTTTAACGCATGATTTTTGCACTACTCCATAGACTATACAGTCATAATCAGATTTTGTTCTTATTAGTATTTTATACAAGTATAATTTTGTTTTTACTATCTGTCCCCCATCCATTTTTGATTGGACTTTTAAGAGATTTAGGATTTTTATGCATTTCTGCCTCAGGTAATTAATATGAACTTTGAAGTTTATCTTATTATTGAGGGTAAGTCCCAACTGCTCGATTTGCTGGACTACTGTTATAAGTTTGTTATTTATTTTTAATTGAGGATCAGGGTGTAGTGATTTTTTGTTACAAAAGTGCATGCATACTGTTTTAGTTTTAGGAAACTGGAACCAGTTTTCATTAGCTCATTTCTCTATTTTATTTATGCAATTTTGTAGTTTTTAGTTCTGCCATTGACATATTTAGGGATGAATAGCCAATAGAAAACTCATCTACAAACAAAGACTTTTCAATCTTGGTGTTCACTAAACCAACTATACTGTTAATTTTCAGTATGAACAAGCTAACTGATACTATGCTACCTTGTGGTACTCCCATTTCTTGATGGTGGGAGTTCAGATATTGTTGTTTCACTCTGTAATCTAAAACACTGATTTGATAAAAACTTTTTGATAAAAGTAGTTAATCTACCATTTAATCCTATGTTGCATATATCTTTTAGGATACCATATTTCCACGTAGTGTCATACGCTTTTTGAAAGTAAAAAAAACTCTAATAACATGGTGTCCTTATAAGAAGCCATCCCATATAAATGATTTGATAGGGACAAGAATGTCAGTGGGAAGCTGCTTTGGTATGTTATATTTTTTAATATCCATAAAAAATTTTTATAAGAAAAAAGAAATGTAAAATTATTAAAATTAATTCAAAAATGTTAGTGGGCCTCTTGTGACCTCATTTTGGCATTCAGGCCATATAACATTGCACCTGCCTTCAGGGGGCCCACAACACACTTTTTTTTTCTTTATAGTGCATGTCTCCATTTCCTCTACAAGATGTGTAACTTTTGTTCTATTGAATTTTCTAATTAATTCTTGTTGCTGAACAAATTCAACACACTGTTCTAGCAACAACTTTCCTAGTTTTAAATGCATTAGAGTCATTTGCTGATACTCCTCATTTTGAAGGCCATTTATATATTTCATTTGGATCAAATCTTCTTCAATTGACTGATTTTCCAATCCCTGTTTCTCGAATTCACAATAGTTAGTCATCTGTTTTAAGTGAAGAACATATTTGATAACTGGTTCAATCATTTTTTTGAGAAATATTCATAATCTTAGCTCTCTCTGCATTCACTAGTTTTTTCTTGGGTGTTATGTTTTTTCACTATTAGTTGACTTATATTGTCAAACGTCATATCCTCCAACTGTTTTGGGTGAGCAATTGCTGGTAATTTTATAATGGCTTCACAACCAGCAGTTGCTAACAAGACGTCCATTATTTGGTTTTCTTCTCCAGATGATTTCAAATCCTTTAGCTTTTTAGTTCTAGCTTTAACTGCTAGTAACTTAAACCATGCTTGTGCATACTCATAATTGATAATTGTTCATTTGCTTTGATAGATATCAGAAACACCATTATAGTGTAGTGTTACTGATTCACAGGAAGTAGTATGCATTTAAATACCTCCTGGGTAATAGCCATAGCTATTTATATTTTTTGGACTTCATATGTAAATGAGTCACCTCACTTTCATTCTAATCTGAGTTGTCTTCACAATAATACATACCAACAGGTTATTAAATAATGTGGATGAGAAATTATTTTAACAAAACTTGAGTTCACATTCCTTTTGCCTTAAGAAGACTGTTTTTTCACTTGAACTACAAGACTGACAGGATTAAGACTGACAGAAAATCAAAACTGACCATATATACTTACTCTTTATTTCCCCAAATCACTTGATGCCATTATATTTAATGTTATTCTTTTTTATTATGTTAGTATGAGGGGATACTGAAAATTTCTTGACCTAAGAGATTCCAAAATAAATTTCGATGTTTCCTCAGATTTTAGTAAGTGGATTGGGCTAAGAACATTTCAGCACACACTCATAGAATTATTAGTAATATTACCTTTTAATAATTCTTATGAAATGAAGCATTGTTAACCATTATCAATATTTACTAATATTTCTTTCATATTAACTTAGATGCTTTGCTTTTTTTGCAGTTGCACTGATCATCAGTTTAAAGCTATATTAATAAGGTCAAAAATTAATATACTAATATATAATTGCCATATTTACCATATTTAAGATATTATTTATATTAGATCTGCTTCCCCTTTGCTATCAAAGTATTTAAAATGATTTTCATAAACTTTGATAGCAAAGGAGAAAGCAGATCTAAGAAAAATAATATTCTAAAAAGGGTAAATATGTTAATTTTTATATTTTAAAAACTTACAAGAAATATCTCATAAAAAAGCAAAATTATTTTCTATGTTCATATTATAGTGACACAGTTAGACATATTTCTATTTTTGTTTAATCCCTAAATCCATAGAAATTATTTATGTCCATCAGTTAAATTAACTTGTGACATTTTAAAATATCAAATACATTCCTCTTAAGAGTTCTTGATCAACCTGAAGTCAATAAATAACCAAAAACTGCAATGCTCTTAACCACTTGTTTTGACACACAGGCAACAATCAAATTGCATCACATCCAAGTTTTTGTTACTATTCAGTTATTATTTAATTTTTCTTCATCAAGCATTTTTTTGGGGCTATAATGAAACATATTACCCATATTATTTGTATAAATAAGTGGAATGTGCATAAAACTTGATCATAAAACTTGATTATTATTATTATGATGGACTAAATAACTAAAGAAGTAACATATGCTATGAGTCCTGCATTTTTATGAGCCCTGAACTAAATACTTGTAAATTATCCATTCCCATTTGGTGAATCAACACTTGTTCTGTTATAGTACTATATTGCCTTCAGCTTTTATAAACAATTAAGTGTTTAAGGCTAGTGAGTCTAAAAAATTATCACCTTTAACTGGGGTTATTATTTGAACAGTAATTAATGAGTGTGCAGTATCTATGTGATATCTATACAATGTATAAATAAAAAGGTATTTAAATGAAACTTGGTTATAGCTGCTGCACAAAGATCCAAACCAAAATGGAAATGTGCCATTTGTGAACAGTGAAAACATGCCTCAGTCTGAGTGCTTTCATAGCATCTTTATAACAGAAGTTACAATAGCAATTGTATAAAGTTTTTTTTTTTTGCAATCAAACAAGTATTGGAGGATGTTTCAAATAACAATGATCAAAAGGCAAAGTGAATAATGGTCATACCATAGGATTAAGAATTATCATATTTTCAAATAATCAATCCTTCTCTGAGCAATTACTGAACATAGCCTATGAAATTTATGAATCCTTGCATAGATACTTAAAAGCTATGGTAATGATAAAGAAATTAGTTATTTCCATACAAGGAAACATTTGTCATTAATTGACCTAACAGATAGCTTTACTGTTGGTTGAAATTTATGAAAGCTTTCTTTTGAAACACTGCTACTCAGAGTTTCATGCAATAACAATCATCAGGCATTTAGTTTAAGCTTTAACTTTTATCCTTACTATTTGTGTGTGTGTGTATATATATATATTTTAGTTTAGATATTATAACAAAAACATGTTGCTACACAATATCTTCTGTGTACCTCTTCAGGTAAATGGTAAGTGACTGGTGATTAAATAATTTTACAACATAGTGCCAAAATATGAAAGCTATTGTGTAGCAATTTCAACATGTTTTATTCTAATATCTAAAATAAAATAATAATAATATATTGCTCTACTTCGTATTGAACACTTTTTAAAAAGTAAATGATACAAACAAGGGGATTTTACTTCATCTGTTGTTTCTCTCATTTGTATATATACATATGTGTGTGTGTGTATTCTATTTTTCCAGTAATTCTTAATGCAACATCTTTCTAAAACTTATCCTTGAATATAAAATTAGAATAAACACAAGCATGTATCCAAAGAAAGAGACCAAGTTTGGTCTGGAAGCCCAGTCTTGTTCAGGCAAATCACACTTAAAAAGATTTCATAAAATTTTCACTGCTGTCTTCTTACAGTATTGTTACCTAACTGTGCTAGTATTTTTAAAAAATAGTAAACTTCCATTTACTGGAAATAAATGATTATAAAGTGTGGGTTACCCTACTTGACTTTGCCAAACACCTGTTAGGTGGCACTGTTTAAGTTTAAAAAAAGACAAACATTTCCTTCCTCTTTATTTCACTTGCTCCAAGATGTTGCAGAATGTATACACCAACACAATATAATACAAATGCATTACCAATAGGTTATATTGTACATTATTATATGTCTACACTGGTTCGGAAATCGCACTAAGCACTAGTTAGTTTATAACACAAATACTAGAGTCAGCATTCTATGGTGTCTTGAAAACATATATATATATATATATATATATATATATATATATATATATATATTAACAACAATATTTTGTGGTGAAGACATATAAGTATAAGTTTCATAAAGACATAATTATGACCACAGCAACAAAAGTGCTAAATATCTAAATCAAAAATATAAATAAAGAACCTCCAAAATCTCAAGTAATAAATTAACCTTAGAAACAAAATTAACCACCAAGATATTGATCACAGCTGTGTTCACAATAATTTTTTTACATTTGAATCCAGTCATGCTCAAAATCCTAGATCCACCCCTTATATAGATAGATCTCCTTGGTTACTTGTGTTTTGCAACTAACAGTGTAGATTATTAATTCTATGCGGTCATGCTTTAGTGCCTCTACAGTAGTCACTTGAGTTACAGAAGGAAACTGAAATTAGCTTGATTTCGGGAGTAAATCAGTTCTTCATTTTGCTTGAATGGTAAGTAAAAAAACATTTTTCTTTTTTATAAACATAGATAAAAACAAAATTCTTTATTAGTATAATGGATATGTTTTGCATGGTTTATGACTTATCATACTAGCATGAACACATTTGGTTTGAATTTAAATGCAATTGACAAGTCTTTCACTCTCATATTACAGTGAGCTCATTTATTTATTAGTAAAATCCACAATAGCCAAAGATAAAGATTTCATTTTGTGTGTATATAATTATACAGGTATATCTGTTTATGCTATGGTAATTTTCTAAGATGAGAATACCTGCTTGCCTTAAAAATCATTATTCAAAGTCTTGAATTTTACATGGACTTGAACGCTAAATATTAGTATCAGTAAAAAATATGTAACCATCTGATACCACCAAGCAGCCAAGATACAGTCTTAAAATAAAGAGAAGAAAATAGTATGCAAATTCAATGTAGATATTAGATAAATTTGAAAATTTATGATCCATTCTTATGTATTTTCCTTTGCATAAGTACATAAATGGGAACAAAAAGAATGTTTCTATAGAAAAAAACAAATAAATGTTTTACTTCAGAATCCAACTATATTTTCAATCAAATAAATATTTACAAAGTTCACATTGTATAAAGTCAAAATAAGACTACACAAGCTACTTAATACCATCTACATTTACATTTCCTTGTCAAACATGAAACAAAATGAGAAAGATTTTCTCTAATTCATGTTGTCAATTTCATTAAAATTATAACTTATATAATTTTGATTTCAATGATCTCAAAATTAAAACTTCATTTCTTCTAAACAATTGTAGCCATTTATTGAATTTGCTACCAAGCATATGACACAATATTTGTTCCTTTTGAAGATCTAAAAAAAGGAGTTGTCATTATTTAATGATTATTTTAGAAATTTTCACTTTGTTTTTATCATTTGCCAGCCAGTGTGCTCTTTACCTTTCTCAGTGGTATGACATCACTTGAAAATTTTAATAAAAACTTTTGGACAGAATCCTTTATTTTGTCAAATGGCATTTTTTTCTTTTTAGCTATATCTGATGTCTTTCTTAAGGATATGTACTTACAATTCCTTCTTTTTATTAATCTTTTCTACTTAAGATTTTGCATTTCATTTTAATCTTTAATTGGATCAAAATACTCCCATACTGACCTGAGATTGTACTTACTACAGAAGCCACTAGTAGAACCCAGTAGTGAAATTTAGGAGCTACAAGAGATTTTGTTTTGGTCGGGAGGGTAGTAGAGGCATTACATTTTTGACATAAATAGGAAGTTGTGAATTCAAATTCTTAGAAAGGATACCAGACGTAACAAAATGCAAAGCATAAGGACAATATATGCAATTTCTCTGTCTGAATTTATGGAATGAGTACGTATTATATACATTATTTAAAATTAGACTAATGTCCTCATCTTCGTTGTTATTATCACAATGTTTCAGTTGTTGTGTTTTTGGCCTTCTTCAGGGAATTTTGAATAGTGCCCTTTATATAATCAGGACAATACTGACAATACTGGAATAAATTATTTGAGTGTAGAGAATGCTATAGGTTTGGAACAAAATTGGAAGTAATGACTTGAAGTCAGCACAGCCCATATAACCCAAATTTCTTTTTCTTTGATTTGGGCTTGCTAAGAAAACACCTGAAGCATCTCCACAATACTATAATGTCTTGACCTTTTCTTTTATTTGGGATGTGATAAGAATACACATATAAGATGTCTAAGACAAGAAATGTCACTAATGTCCAGAGGGATCATACTTTGCAAATCTCACATAAAAATGAGAGCCAAAGTGATGAGACTTTCTTCCTAGAAGGTACACTTAAGTTTACCAGTGTCAGACAGGCCTATTAAGTTTATAGGATTTGGATATTCATCATAGTCTTCTTTTAGAACAACAAGGTAACTTAAACTTAAACATTAAAGAGAAAAAAAAAGTATTTACATTATTGACATTCAGACTAGTGTCCTCATCTTTGTTGTTATTATTACAATTGACCATTCTGCCCTTCAGCCTTCTTCAGGTATCTGTTGATCCATGTAACCTACATGGAATTTTAAACTGAAACATTTACTTAATCTATGAGGTGTAGAATGTCTTTGCTCCACTGTACCTATCTAGAGATTTCTCTTCTTTTTCCTATTTAGTATCAATCAGTTGTTGCCCACTCTGTTTCCACTGAGTCTAAAACCACACTATCTGGCCCAGAGATTAAACTCACAAAGTTCATGAACCAAAACTTTAGTTAACTTGGCTGTTGTCCCATTGAACAATCATGAGCCTAGAAATTAACGAGCCTTAATGAGCCTTAACATAATGATAGCACCAACAGCAGGCAGGAAAGAAGAACATTAGTAGTCCAGAATAAACTTAGTGAAAACAGTGTAAACAATAATCAAGCAGTACTAAATAAGAAAAAAAATGAGATGTCCCTGGAACAAGAACAATGTTTCCTGTAGATTAAATAATTAATAAATGATACAATGCAGTGGGGTCTGTATCAGCCAAATTTTATTGTCTCCAGTAGGGAAATATTGCTGAGTACATGTCAGTGAAAAAGAGAGTACAGTGAGTGAGAGAACTTCTAAACTCCAGCCTTTTGTTTTAGGCCATCTGCTCACTACTAAGGCAAAAACCTTGGTGAAAAAATTTTGGAGGAAGGAACTTCTTTTTTACCCAGGAAAGCTTGCCTTCTCACTGGTTGCTGATTAGTCAATTCATGGATCAATGAAAAGACCCTGCTGCATCCTGCTTCTTTTCTTTCTTTTTTTTTTGTGCAGAACTTGTGACTTTCAACTCACCCTGTCAAATATATTGTATTTCAGAAATACAATATATTTCCAACAACCTGTGTGGCTATTTATTAGTTAGATTTTTTTCCCTCTTATCCTTAATCTTAAATTAGTGTCTTTTATTATACACCAACAATGTTACAATTAATCTAAATGTAAATAATGTAAATAATAATAACTATTCATTCCAGAAATTCAGACAGAAATTAGTAGAAAAAGTATTTTCCCAAAAATGTTACACTGTCAGTAACCAGGCAACCTTTTGTCTAACAACTCTTAGAATTTAAACAAAATTATCAAAAGTTCTTTGAATATGAGATTATTTGACATGGAAATAATCTTTTCTTAATTTTTAGTTGATTTTACTTATATATTATCCTGAATATAATTTATAAGTGAGATGTAAATAACACTAGTCAAGATAAGTTTAAACTGTTGAAAAATTATACAATGGTGTTCTCTACATATAAGCTGCATGAGATTTTGTACTGATACATTGGTTAACATGCTTATTTGATAAGCTACTGACAATGGGATTTGTTATCTTTGAGTGTTACAGAAATGCAGCTTGATACCAAAATTGTCCTCCTCCAACAAATTCCTATTGGTTCAAGCATTGATATTGATAGAAAGAAGTAAGATAAAATAGTGTACTTTTCTAGTTTTTATACTCAAGTTTATTTCTGAAGGCTTTCCCATGATCAGGTACAGCTGCAAGGAAATAGATATTTGAAATCAGTGTTTTCCTTTTCTCAGATAAGCCTCTCAGGCTAACAAGTTCCATCTACCTAATTTGAGTATTACCTCTCCCTTATCTATATCATGCATTTTGAGTATATCTGTTAAAAGTGAAGTTTTCTTATTTTTCAAAAGAAAATGTTTGAATACTTTGTGTCTTAGTCTCATTTTGAGTTTTTCAGTTAAAATGTGATTTTTCCTTATTAGCAGCAAATGTTTGAATATTACTGTCATGATACATATGTAAAGGAGAGAAAAAAGTAGGAAGTTAAGAAAATCATTGCTTAATTATCTTTAAAGTTGAAAGAGTGACAATAATTTCAGAATAAGTATGCACTCTGAAAGATCTCATTAAATATTTAATAATTTCTTTTCTTGTAAGATCAGAAAATTCATACAACATTTTTATTGTTATTTTGCTTTTATATTAGTCATGGCTTCTTCAAAGAAAAAAAAGAGTGGTAACACAAGACAAAAAG